TACAACGTTTCGACAAGGTTTTGTCATCATCAGGTACCCTTGTCGAAACGTTGTACATTTGCTGTCATGTTAAACTTATATTAAAGTTTTTCTTCATTACCCATTTAAGCCGTCTCCAGCCATTATTAGTCTCAAAGTGGGTTCCTCGTCATCGAATTTAACTACATGTAACTTCAAGGCAAAGTATAGAAGTTGGGCGTGGCAACTGTCAAGGGTTAGAAAATTTATATATGTGTTTCCTAGACAACCCAGCTTGCAGACTTTAGATCTCACATGACAGTTCAAACATGCATACTTATTGTGTAAAAACTCCTGTACGTTCCAGATTGTGTGTCTAAGAGACAGAAGTGGTAAAGTTGAGTGTTGTATCTATCTTTTCATATTAAGGAATTGCCTCTTTGTTTCTATTATGCAATAATCCTAAGCCCCTTTTTTTCGTGTTTTAGATTTTTTTTCTTAAAGACACCATTCCTTTATTTGTATTTCTTTCCTGTTCAAAGTCATTAAGATAAATTTGTCTTGGATGAATTCATCTTTTTCATTGTCTGTTTTTCTATTGCTTAAATGTGAATACTAGTAACTGGTGGGATACTGTGAATACAGTACATTATGCATGCATTTTAAAGCTAATGTCCTGTGTGTTTTTTGCTGAAAGATAAACAAGGCTTGTATCGTTATGGTGTCTGGAAGGATGTGTGAGCAGGAACAATAAATTAGATTAATACTGAAAAAGATTAAAATAGGCACATGTATGAAATAATAAACCTTTATTTTTAGATATTAGAGACAAATCAAACTTAACTTGAGAATGCTATGTAACTGAATTTCAGGAGACTTTGGTAACTTCCTAACATTAATGTATATCATGTTGCTAAGTTACATTGCAATAAAATTTTTTCGTGTATTTTTCATTATCTGTTTAATATAGAATGCTGAAGAACCCTAGAAAGATTTGTAAAAATTGGTTGATAGTTTATTCATAATTAGTTATGAATTGAAGATGATTTGGAAAACACAAATGTTCTTTTGTTTTTAACTATAAACATATATCACATTGTTTTATAGCATAGAAACACATACTTGTACAGTAAGTTAGTTATATCAATGTACATTAACTTTGAGTAACATGAAATGGAAAGTATATGTAATCCTATTTTCTCTTTCCAAATCAAAAGTATAATTTACCTTTGCTATAGTGATTGATTGTTGATGAACTTTTGTATGTCTAGCGGATTTCATAGCTCTTGAGGTCATGGAGTTTCTGGAAAGTTATGGAATATGAAAATGGCTATTTCTAGGCCTCGAAGTATTTTAGAAAAAGAAATCTAAAACTTTTGGAAAAGTCACAAAGAAAATTGCAAGTTTAATATACTTTGAGTAGCATTATATATATTTTTCCTTGACTACTGTTTTGTTTTCACTCTGTCTCTGGTTCCAAAGCTTTTTCCCTGATTTTTATTTTTTCAAATAGTTGCTAAGTAATGAATGTGCATACAAAGGTGTATGTGTCATCACTCATGCTTTGTGAAGAACAACAAATAAGTTGCTGTGCACTTAATTGTCAGCAGTTTAAAATGTCAAGAAAGTGTACATTTAAGTATCTATAGTTACTGAGCAGTAAATACTCTCAGTGGGTAGAGAAAGATCTGGACAAGAATCAAGCTAAATGTAAACTGTGTGACAAAAGTTTTGACATTTCCAATATTGGAGAAGCAGCCTTGACAAGTCATATTAAGAGGAAAGAACACAATGAGTTGGTAGATGCAAAATTATGGTTATTTTTGCATCATATTCAAAAGTTAAATCTAGTTTGATGACACCGACAGTTAGAGATGGAAAGTAAAAGAGTATGTTCCGTCATTGCAAATAGTAAAAAGTTCGCTGGGGTCTTAGGGTTGTTGATTCTCACTACAATAGTCCCTCTTAGATACAACCGACCTATCTGCAGTGATATAAAAGTCAAATCTGACTGGTAGTCATTATTCAAATAACCAGCTAAAGAAGAACCGAGTTCAAGCTGTGCCAGTTGCTATTCTCAGGGGTTGAGCATATTGGTTTATATACTGTATAGGTAGTCAGATAACGTAGCAAGTTGGTACACTGTATAATAATAGTTATGATGGATAAGATAACTTAAAATTGTTTTGTTTGTGTAAAATAATTTATTCATCGATGACATTTATTTTGTAAACATCTATGTATCATATTTTTATTATATACATACAACATATTACAAACTGACACAAAATTTATTTCATAAAAAATCATCCATCTGCACATTTAACTTTGAATGTTCATGAGTCTGGTAGTTATTATATCAAGAAGTGTTTCATTGTTAGTTTTCAGCACATGATTTTAGTATCAATTTTTAAAAATACTGTGCAATAAATGTCCAGAATTTTACATCAGAGAAATCGGATTAAAATTGGAAACCAGATTCACTAAATGTAATAAAAAACATCCCATATTTACCACCACTGCAACTAAAAAAATCCACAGTAGTCCATGCTGTAATTTTAAACAAAGAACCGAATATCGGATGCTAGAAACAAAACAACCACACCCTAAACCAAAATTTCATCTTGAACTTGGATCCTTTGATCCCAGCTCTGAAAAGGGACCATTCCACAAATTTAAAGGAACCAGTAAAGAAATAAGA